GTGTGCCAAAAAAAACATATGGTTAGATTTCAAGGGTTTTTTTTTAATTAACTTTATTTATATTGTAGGGCTTAATATAATGTCTTACCAACCTAATAATATAATGGATGATCTGCTCAATAAGCTAAGCCAGCAAATTAAACTTAATTAGTATCTTAGCATAGTAGTGCGAAGACGTGTACGGTGTATCTAAGCATTATTTGATCAAGTTAATTAAATTAGGTTTAGTTTTTTCTTTTTTTCTTTTCTTTTTTTTTAAGGGGGGAGCAGGGGGGGGGGGCACAATCTTTCGTGATCTTTAGAGAATTAGAGGCCCAAAGTTGTTTGGTGTGGCTAATGGCCACAACTCACAAGGGTAACACTTTAAAGTTGGTGGAATTAAGAATTAGTCAAATAGACAACTACTATACCAGCATTTAATGATTTGGGAAATTGGGATGATGAAAAATAAATTTTTATTTGTTGAAGATGAAGCTTATTGTGTTTTATTTGAAGTTAATTAAATATGGAGTAAAAAAAAAAATTATGGGTAACGATATATGTAGTCCTCATGATTGTATATAAGCATTGAAATAGAATTAAGTTGAGAATTCATGACAAAATCACGTTAGATGGGTGTAATTAATGTTAATTATCTTCAATATATCTTGAGGGTTATGTTTATCATTTTTCTTTATTTATATATGACTATATGAGGTTAGGAGGACCCTAATTGCATGAACCTTAATCTTCTTGCATGGTTTTTCAATTCAATGTTTGTAAATTGTGATTGGTATATAGTGAGTGAGTAAGGTAAGGGATCCCTACTAAAAACACCTAAAATTGTGAGAATTCAACCTTTTGAAACCAATGTGTACATTCATAAGCTTAAGGTAGCAAGCTACTCGTAGCAATATACGATTGTAAAAACTACATGTGCGCTACTCTTTAATATTTATCATGGGAAGAGAAGCTAGTTTTGGTGCTTTCATTATATTAGGAAAATAAGTTTTGTCAAATCACTTTTTTTTTTTAAAAAAAAACCCGTTAGGGTTTGTCAAATCAATATAAGTTCTACCTATATACTACGAGTACTTAAGATTTAGTCAGTGTCAATAAAGTCAACTTGTGTTTATATCACAATTGTAATGAGAGCTAAGTAGCTAACTAATACGTAGTACTTATTAGTAGACTAGCTAACAATCCTAGTATATATAAACATAAGTCCTTGGTGCCTCATGTTCTTTTTACTCGTGATATTTTTGTTTTCGAATGAGTTTATATATTAACTAGTTTTGTGTCCGTGCGATGCCCGGGTTGTTTATTGAATTTTAAGATTGCCCAAAAAAATATTATGATACAAAAAATAATTTATTAATTTTTAATAATTATAATCTAATAATTTTTTTAATAAAATTATAATTGAATTTGTACATTTGAAATATTGGTATTTTATCAAACACAAATTTTTGTATGTGGCTGGCCATACCACAATTTTTTTTTTATTTTTTTTTAATACCACAATTCTTCTCTCTTGTTTTTTCTTAGCTTCTTCTCCAAGCCAAATCATACATCATCAACAACCATATCTCTACTCCACCCATTTTCTCTCTCCTCTTTTCTTAGCTTCTTCTTCAAGCCAAACCACACATCACCAACAACCATATCCCTACTCTACCCATTTTCTCTCTCCTCTTTGCTAAATTGCTACAATTAAAGCCCGAAATTGTAGAAATTGGGTGTCAAATTATTGTGAAAAATTGTGATTAATTATCCTTAAGATCGTGAACAACATTTGAAGTAGTGAAATTGATGAGAACCAAAGAAATTTGAGCTCCTTTTCTTCGTGGAATCTCAAATCGAACATTCTACGTCAAAAATTGTAGGGTGTTACTAGTTTGGTCAGGGGTTACTTGTAACTGGTTTGGTCAGGGGTTACTTGTAGGGTGTTACTGGTTTTGGTCAAGGGTTACTTGTAGGGTGTTACTGGTTTTGGTCGGGGGTTACTTGTAGGGTGTTACTGGTTTGGTATGGGGCCTACAAGCAAACTTTTTTTTTTTTGAAACCAACTTACAAGCAACCCTTGAATAAGTAACAAGTAACCATTGAATAAGTAATTCATACAAGTAACCTTTGAAGTAACTCATATAAATAACCCTTGAATAAGTAACTCATACAAGTAACCCTTGAATTAACCCATACAAGTAACCCCTAAAAAAAAAAGGTACCCTTGAAAAAAAATATAAGTAACTCCTGAAAAAAAATTACAAGTAACTCCTGAAAAAAAAAAATACAAGTAACCCCTGAAAAAAAATACAAGTAACTCCTGAAAATAAAAATACAAGTAACTCCTGAAAAAAAAACACAAGTAACCCCTGAAAAAAAAATTACAAGTAACTCTTGAAAATAAAATACAAGTAACCCCTGAAAAATACAAGTAACCCTGATAAAACCAGTAACCCCGTTATGCGAGTGAATAGTAACCCCGTTATGCGCGCGTCAGAATCCGTTATTTTTACTGACTTGGCAGCAGGCCACACGGTGTGGTCTGCTGCACCAAAAAAGCTCTGTTTATCGAAAATAAAACTAATTTTATCCTAAAATTCTATCCAAATAGCAAATTAACTTTTTTTTTTATCTTATGAGGTCTATTTAAATCTATCCAACGTGGCGCAACACTTGGCGAAAAGTTAGAACGCCAAGTGTCGCAGCCTCGTGACCTGGTTAAAAGTTTAGCTTTATATATTAGTTATATGATCTTTGCCCAATCTTCTAGCTCGATTTTAAACTCTTCATTTCTCCTAAAATTAAAGCATATGATAGAATCATTATTCTTTTTCATCGATCTTCATTTACTATTAACAATTTAGGCATGACACGGGTCAAATAACCAGTTAAATTAAATAACTTAATATAAGTTTGGATAAGGAGAAATCTAGGTTAAGAGAGTCCATTATGAGTCATTCATCATATTACTATATTAGAGAATAGAGATGATGGGCTCAAGCTAGACTCCTCATGCAGAATGAGCCAATAATCGAGTGATTGAGCATCCTTTACATTTGCCAACTTAAGTAGAAGTGTGTTGAGTGTAAAATAGCAAGAAAATCATGAATTAACTTAATTCAATACATTGCATCAATTTGGAAAAAAAATAAAATTATGTACTCATATAAACATTTCAGTTTTGTGTTTTTGTTCAATTAAATACAAATAAAAGCATACTCAAAGATGAAAGATATATTTCAATTTCTTATTTTTAATTTGCTCGAATAATACTCCATCTAGAGTGCTACATAAATCTTTATTTATTTATAATAGGCCAATTCCATAGCAATCATATGGGAAACTAGGGCCAAAATTGCCAAATCAAACTATTGATGAAAAACAAAAATCATCTCTGAATTATTTATATTTTTGCAGAGGTTGACATGAAGAAAAGTTACAAGAAATACAAAGAGGCATGTTGTTTAGCTAGTCCAAGTATGCAATTGCGTATAGGTCCGAGTGTCGCAGTGAAAATAGAAGCCATCTTCTTTAGCCTCCCAAAAGCATTGCGAATTACATGTACCTTCGTGAGCAGTCCTAAAAACATCAAATCTAATGTTTTTATCTTTCCAATAGAAATGGCAAAAATATAGCGTTGAATCCATCAAATTGACATGAAAATGCCACTCGTAAGTTTGTCCTTTCTCCAAAACATGCACACCCAAATCATTATTTTTGGACTGACAACGTAATGTCATTGGACCTGGCAATGCATTGAGTATGTGAACTCTGTAGCGGTTCAATTCAATTTGTGCCATTGTTGGCTCAAAATTCATTTGTAGGAATCCTACACACATCAATAAACTCACCATATAACTTACGTAGCCCATGTTTGATCTTTTACTATGTTCTAACTTAAATTATTATGATTTTGTCAATTTTTCATTTGTTTATATAGTTGGGTTTGCATGCTAATTAAACATGGACTGCCCTCAAATTAAGGGGAAACTAAATTATGTAGCTTGTACAGTTTGTACCAAAAAACATATGGGTAGATTTCAAGGGGTTTATTTTAATTAAGTATAATTATAGGGTAGGTTGGCTTAATATAATCTTTATCAATCTAATAATATAATGGATGATCTGCTCAAGCCAGAAGCCAACAAAAATTAATTAGTAGACGAATTCCTCGTAAGTGGTAATGCATTTTTTGATCAACTTGTTAATTAAATTAGGTTTGATTTTTCGTTTTTTTTTTTCCTAAGATCCCAAAGTTGCTTTTTGTGGCTAATTTTTGGCCACTGGTGTAAAACATTAAAGTTGGTGGAATTAGGAATTAGTCAAATACTACCACCATTTAATGTTGAGGGGTGAATTGGATGATGAAGAAGAATATATTTGTTTTTATTTGTTGGAGATGCGACCTGTTTTTGATTTGAAGTTAACCAAATAAATACTGTAGCTTTTTTATAGCTTAAGATAGATCAGATTTAGTGCCAATAAAGGCAATTTATGTTTAATCACAACTTTGTTAAAAAAAAAAGGTCTATCACAACTACAATAGTAGAAGTAACTACAAAGAGAACTCATAAATAAATAACAAAGACAAATTACAACCTAGAAACTAATATAAAAAAAATAATAATAATAAAAAAAAAACACCAACCTAAACGCTAACAAGAAGTAATTACTTAAAATAAATAACTACAATAATAAGAAGCAATTACTATAAAAAAAAAAAAAAAAAAAAAAATTTACCACAACTACAATTGCGTATAAGAGTGTGCATTATAACAAGCTTGTTTAAAGAAAATCATTGTACTAAGTGTAAATGAAGATATTATGAATTATATATCAACGCACACCATTAAAACACACACAAATAAACTTATCAAATACATGGAGTAGTTGAAATTGATTAGTTTCCTACATTAATCACAAACCTAAAAAAAAAGATTTGACTAGAAATATCAACTCTAATATCTTTATTATAATAAATATAGTAAGCATAATTGAATAAATTAAAACTGACTTGACTCTAACAATCTCGATCAAAACAAATGCAGAGTTGGCAAAGTAGTTAGAAAACTACACAGATTAGGTTTCCACAAGCTAATCTTCCATAGACCAATGAAGAGTTGACTCACCTGATAAGATTCTTACCTTAAATCTTAAAGGTTTGGGGTTCTAATCTTACCAAATGAGGGTACTTAGGGCAGGTTAAATAATGAACCAAACAAAGTGTAAGAGTTGAGGTCATGACGTCTAGTCAAAGTCTCCCTACCATTAAAAAAAAAAAAAAAAGAAGCTAATTTCTCATAAGCCGAAATCAAACTTTGTACAACCGAATGAACTTTTACTTAGCCCAAAAATTTGCTTACCCAATCCAAGTAATAACCAAACGACCTATTTGGCACCTCTATCATCACGACTTAAAAATACAGCAAGTACGCTAGACGCACAGTAGGTAGCGAATGGAAGCCGAAAAAGAACTTTATCTTTAACAAATCCACCATCACCACCTCACCCCTCTTCCATTTCCTTCCCCTCTTCTTCTCCACCACCCTTCTCTCTCTTCCACCAATCCCATCTCTTTCTTCCCTCATTTCTCATTCACTCTTAGAGAGAGAAATTCATAATCATAGGTGGTGGAAGAGAGAGAAAAACCCCTCAAAAATGGAGAGATTAATCTGCTCTTCACCAATCCCCTCCAAATTAAACCTTAAATCTTACCCTTCTCTACCCCAACTCGGCCGTGTTGACCCCCGCAAACTCGGTGTTTTGCTACCACCAACCACCGAGTCAGTCCGAGTCAACTCGATCCCTTTGAAGCGCTGCCGATTACAGTTGAGGGCATCTTGTTTTTCGAATCCAACCCCATCATTCAATTCATCTTTTGACCCGTTTAATTCAAATGGGTCTTCTTTGGAGCCCCGTATTGCGTCACATTCAAACCCAAAGTTGCAAAAGGTATGATAAACTGGTAATTGTTGTTGCCAATTCTGCGAATTTTGTTTCTTATTTAGATTGAATCTTTATTTTCTGGATTATTGAATAGAATTTCCCCCAAAAAATACTAGATCTTGATAATTGAGGTAGAATATTGGCAATTGTATTATTATACTCAAGCTCAGACGTTTATAATTGTGTTTTAAAGGTGTTTTGTGGTTAATGATCATCATGTACGGCTTTTTTCCTAGGGAATTGTATCATTTGGAGTGTTGCTAATTTAGAAGCAAGGTTTATGTCTATATTTGGTTCCGTGTAATGAGGAATACTATTTTCTTATGTTCGGAAACGTTAGTTATCTTTCTCGAAGAAGTAATAGTTTAAGATTAGATTACTAGTAATTGTGAAGGAGGCATATGTTGCAATAACTATGAAGGGTCTATTTATACAATCATGCCATATCCTTGATTACAAGTTTTATGACGGTTTAGACAATGTGACAAGAATTCCCAGATGAAGGGAGTAGTATTAGTTAGCTGATATTGGAACTAGATTAAGAGAAATCATTATTGAAGATACTTGATTATATTGTAGTAGCCGCTGCCTGCAGGCAGTGTAATGTGATACCTAGACTGGTGTAACTCATTTGTATGGCGTGGATGTATGGTTTGTGATTGCAGACTGGGGTTGTGGCGCAGAAGTTTGGCATTCCTGAATGTAGCTTAGATAGATAATTTCTTCTCCTACTTGTTAAGTTTTCGTGTTCCTACTTCCCAGCCTCAGGAACGAAATAAGTTTTGTTGATACCCTATAAGAGCATTGGACTTTTCTGAATTCGATGATAGGTTTTGTGGAGATAGGAGATTCTTTGAAAAGTTTTTTGTGGTTTAAGGTCTGTATTTCAATTGAGAAGGACCTGTCCGTCATTCTTTCATGCAAGAGTTAGCTCATCAGTATATTCTTTTCACTTTATATGGAGTAACTATCAATATTAGTTGATCTTCGTTGGTTTTTCTAAGTATATATTCCATTTTTCCTTTGATGGTAAGAATCTCTGCTTATAAACTCCAGATTACTTATACACCTTGTTTCTGTGTTTGGATCTTTTTTTTTAATTATTTTTTATCTAGCCTATCTTATCTAAACTCAAGGTTGAAAGAAGTACTCCCTTAGTGAACCAAGAAAGTGCAAATATCATTGTGACAGTTGTAATCTCTAATTTTGTCGGCACATCTTGCAATATGAAGTCATGTAAGATGTAACCCATGAGACTTTAATCTCTTTCTCATGATTTGCAAAGCATTCTCTTTTTTTCTGCTTTGTCCTTCTCTCATTTGCAAAGCATGTAAATTGCATCTTTCATAGATGTGTTATAGACATGATTTGATGATTATCTAAAACAATGCAAAGTATATTGGAATGGAGTTGAACAAAATTGCTTTAAAAAATTCTCTGACATTCCTGAACATGTGTCTTGACCTTTTCATGATCTTGCTTAATTACTTGTTCTGCTAGCAACATGTCATTGAGCAATGAGCTGCCATGGTTCTTCACCTGTAGCCCTGATGCATTGGGTCTCATTTTTGACGGGTGCTTCATCAGCACGAGTCAGATAGAGAAGGAAAGTATTGGTGGCATGAGTAGTGATCGGGCTTCTCACCTTTCCCCTTTTGATGTTGAAGGAGGGAACTAGCTAGATTTGATTTCTTCACTTTAATACATTTTCAAACCCATTTAGTGGATGAAAATGATAGAATAGTTTGGAAGAATGTAGGATTGACATTAATGAAGCTGGGGATATCGGAATTATGGTACTTTTGTAGCTTCATAATCATTTCCAACTGTCTCTGGGTTATCCTGCTCTGCAAAGAAGTGGCGTTTTCTGATGAGCCTTGATTATAGATTGTGTGATGTTATCTTTATGCGATGGAAAGACATTTTCACCTGCACAACTTTTTGTTTAAATACCCATCTAAAAGCATGCATAAGTTACTGTAATTGGTGCTGTTAGTCTTCTGGATTGCTTGCATCACCAGTCATAGATGGTGGATACTGGATAGTCAGTATCGTGCTTTAATTGCTGTTCATGTTACTGAAGTTTTGAACCTATCTTTATACTAGTGTCCTTGGATCTTGTTTCAGGTCGTCACTGCTGCAAAAATTATTCTGCTTTCTGCTCTTGCAATGACCATCATTAATCCAGTCCGTACACTACCAGCATTTGCTAGCTTACAAACTGCCTCGCCTGGGGGTGCCGTTGCAAGAGGCTTCCTTCGCACCGAAGTACTGAGTAGTGCATGGACCGGTTTCTTTGCTGGTTGTTTGCACACATTATCAGGACCTGACCACCTTGCTGCTTTAGCTCCTCTGTCAATTGGCCGCACTAAAATGGAAAGTGCAGCTGTAGGGGCCCTTTGGGGGTGTGGCCATGATGCTGGGCAATTAATTTTTGGCTTACTCTTTCTTCTACTGAAAGATCGTCTCCACATTGAAATAATTCGAACTTGGGGCACTCGAGTAGTTGGTGTAACTCTTCTTATTATTGGTGCCATGGGTATAAAGGAAGCTTCAGAAGTCCCTACCCCTTGTGTTGCCTTAGAAAATGGAGAGTGTGATGTTGGTGTCTTAGATACTGTTGAAACCCCTCTTGTTGGGAAGAAGAAAAAGATTGGGTTTGCAACCTTTGCCACTGGGATTGTGCATGGGCTTCAGCCTGATGCACTAATGATGGTTCTTCCGGCTCTTGCATTGCCCTCGAGGGTTGCAGGGGCGGCATTTTTAGGCATGTTCTTGGTTGGAACAGTTGTTGCAATGGGTGGTTATACCGTATTCATTGGGTCGTGTAGTGAGGCATTGAAAGATAGAGTTCCTAGAATAACAGAAAAGCTTACTTGGGCTGCTTCTCTGGTAGCTATTGGCCTTGGATTAGCTATCATTATTAGTCAATTTTTCGGCTTTAGTTTGTATTAATTAGTTTATTACATGATATCAAGATATCGAATTGTAGGTTATTTTTCCTCGCTGAGCATTAGGAAAGATTTTGGAGTGAGCAAATTGGATTTTCTAAAGAGATTACGTTCATTATTCTTGTTTCTTATGTTGTTTTCTGTATGCAGTAATGCAGTAATTATAGGTACCACTTTTTTTAAAACAAAGTAATCAACTGTAACAGCTTCGACTGAATATTATATTTGTGTGCTTGTTTTACCTTTACCACCTAATGATTTAGGGTCGAATTTGAAGGAGGTTACATATGCAGGTGCAGGCGTGCAGCTGTAGGCAATGGTGTGCTTCTTGTCCGATTTTGAGCATCTCTTTGAACTTGCATGTTAATAGTTTGAGTTTTCATTTTACATTTGTCTTACATAAACGTAATGAACATAAATGCTGTTACAGGACAAGACGGCACGTTATGCTCAATTGTCACCCAGACTTATCCCATGGTACAAGAAGATTCATGTGAGGTGCATTATAGTCTTTAGTGTGAAGCATTGAAACATAAATACCTGCATTCAATATAAGTATATATGATCCATTACACAACCAGCAAGAACATAAAATTATGAAAAATCATCGTGGTTATGGCTGATGGACAAATAAGTTCATCTGTGCATTGCTGATCAGCCGACAACACTTATGGGATTAAGTTTTTATTGATTGATTGTGTATTCATGTCTTCAGTGAGCTCTTTTGGGATTAAGATTCATGCCTTTAGCTGGTTGTTCATGCCATAAAGAACACATACATCTGCAGCAGTTTTCAGCTTGAAAACACAGATTATAACAAGGATTTAGACATGAGCAAGAAAAGAATCAGACGAGAAAGAGGAGTATTTACGTAACGTCTACAATAGATAGAAACTACTTAATGTTTATATACCTGCAGCAAATGATCAAAACAAAAGATGGATTTTTAGGGATTTCTGCTTGGACTATGAAAACTTGGGCTACAAATATATGTAGTAGGCCTGTAACAAATTGTCTATTTCAGCCCAAACCCAATAACAGATTCTATTTTTGGTACTGGGTCTAGATTTATGGCCTACTGTTAGATTATAGGTCAAACTTTCAAAGTTTTGGTAATGGCCTTTCTTAGAAAAAATAAAATAGATGTATATTCTTCTTTTTTTTCCTCAAATCATCTCAATTTCTCAAACAGCTCATGCGATCAACTACTCCATATCTCATTAATTTCAACACTTTTACCAATTTTAATTAGTCTTTCGGATACTTCTCATTTGTCTCAAGTCTCACTCTCAACTCCTCCTAATTCATAATCTGCCATTTTCTCATTGACGAATAATAATATGATCAATTACTTATTTTATTTTATTTTTAGGTTAAAGGGAGAAGGCTTCATTAGTTATGTGTCAAAGTCACAATATCAAGTACTAAGTAGTTATATGAATTATACATTGCATGCAATAAACTACTAGTAAATTATAATCAAGTTTGTATGTCTAGTAAATTAAACTCATGCATACTGTATGTATGAGTCGTAATTCTCATGCTATTCAAAAAAAAAAAAAAGGTAGTATTTCTCATTGTCTTACGAGAGAAGACTACTCTAATCTTCGTGTATTTTACCTTATCAAGAAACGTATCATCTTCCTACACAAAAATGTGCATATTAGTATATGATTCGTAGTCCGTATAAGCATAACATGCACGTACACTATGCACAACACGGGCTAGAGGTGTCAAAAGCACACCCGATCTGACCCGATTCGAAAATAACCGATTCGTATTTAGACTCGTGCAAACATAATAATTTAGTATGACTCAACTTTAAAAATTTATTCGATCCGATCATCCGAATTGATACCTCACACATATCTACGATGCATATATGGTAACCCTACGGCTCTGTAATGTTAACATGAATACTCTTCATAATATAATCATACTATACATGGTTTAACATTTTTCACTTATTCACTATTCATATGATATACATCATCTTTAATTTGTCCAAGTTTTCCCCAGCTAGCTTGGCAATAACATCTACTATTCTTAATCATACATACACTATCTTACAAACAATTAAATGAGGGTCCATATTTGGGTCCTATTATGATTTCATATTAGTCAATTTTCATGAAATTATTCAATTTTGGACCGATAAAACACCTGTATGTCTAAATTAGAGGAAAATTTTAATATAACTACTTCTAAAAAACAATATTTCATGAAAACAAAAAAAATCAGACTTTATACAGCAGATATTGTCGTGGAGAATACGATATATCTATCATTTTTTTTGTAAATTTTCCTAAAATATAAAAAAAGTCACGATTAAAAACATCTTTTTCAATCGAGTAGTTATTATTTATGTCTTGCCAAAACTTCAACCAACTTGCATTGCGCGCCTAACCTTGTGTGTGCCCACAACAAATCACCATCTGTTTGCAGCATGAAAAACTATACGGAGTATTAATTATATTTTTCAAGTTTATGATTTTTTATTTTTCTTTAGGTTGGACCATAAATTTTCCTTTTTTCATCCCCACAAAATTCATTTTCATATTATTATTATTTTATGTTTATGTTTATGTTTATGTTTATCTATCCTTTTTGCCAACAGTAACCGACAGTTTAAGCTTTGCATGTTGACATCTATGATTGTGATCGAACTTTGTTTTTTCTTTGTAATCCCACCTTACATACTTTGAATAAATCCCATGACATGTTTACTAATTAATTATGTCATAATTTAAATTATATCCTAGATCAAGAATATTATGGATGTAGTAGTAGTAATCAGCATCTTGATTTGCATCATTCAAATCTATTCCATGACTAATAATATTCAAATGTAAGTTGGAGTAATATATGAGCTAGCCCTTGACACTCAAATGTCGTTATAAAAATCTATTTATCTTATCTTATTAGTTAGACAATTAACAAAGGCAAGACATAATTTGACTTTGTTTATATGAATTCTTATATACGTACACATCAGTTGGACAAGTACGCGAGCATAATGATGTTTTAGTCCATTCCGCCGTTTGCTTAAGAATAGCTTCTCTTAAGTGTGAACCATTGCTTAAATTCTTACATTCAAATGTCGTTTTACAAATCTATTGATCTTACTAATTAGATGGTTAATAAGAGACGTGATATAATTTGACTTTATTTACAAGAATTTTTACGTAAACATATCAAGTATGTAGACTTAATAATGATATTTTAGTCTATTATTACTCGGTGTTGCTTAAGAATATCCTCAACTAAGTGTGAACCATTAATTTAAATTCTATCCCACAATATATATATATATGACATGACATGATAGGAACGGAAATTCAAGCACACTATTAGTTAGAAGAAATATTATGAAAGTGTGATGTACTCCGTATAATATAAGGTCATCAGATGAAATTGACTGATCAAGTTGGTATTTGACATTTCATAAATTAAGGAGTGGGCATAATTGTGGCATGTAGAGGTGACTGATCTTATGAGGAGTAAAGAGACAGAAATGCATGAATTTTGCAAAAGACAAGTCAAAAATAGGAATTAATAAATTATGGTTTGATAAGCCAACAATATATGCTTGAAATAGACAAATGTTAAATACTAAAAATGGATTAATAGACATGTGTACAACTCATACTAAGTTTTCTTGTTCTTTCTAATAGTTTGTTGCTTGAATTTCCCGGAAGGCAAATTAAATTGACCCTATTTATGTAACTTAACTTCGATGTCAAATATTGATTAGTCCATGTAAACTATTTCAAGTACAATTGAAACTTTACTATTAGAAGGAAAAAAATAAATTGAAAAGTAAAAGGATTATATAATTCTAACGTGTAATATACAAATATGATCAATTTGTACGTTGTAATATTGTTAAAAAAGCAACAAGTTTTTAAAATTAACTTAGGTCTTTGGTCAATCCTTACATGTCCTTTTAGTAAGAATTTAGGGTCTATTCTCTTCAGCTTAATTTTAGTTTAGTTCAGTTTAGCTCTAATCAGTTCAGTTTCTAATTTCTTTATCTCATAAACAATTCACTTCAACTTAATTTAGTAAAGCAGAACAAACCCTTAAAGTAGAATTCTGAACAATTGAGTGATATAAACGGCCAAAACAAGGCGTGTGCTAATTCTGGTCGCAAAATTCAAAGGGAATTAGAATTTATACCTGCTTCTAATCTTGAGTGGTGTAATTACTGTAATATGAGTATCTATATGATAATACGGAGCATGACTAATCTGTAATAAACATTATATCCACCTCACATAAAAAGAACAAATTATTGGAAGGGCACTATACATAAAGAACAACCAATGAATTGCTGTATTTTTCAGTTGTAATTTTCCTATGAATAGTCCATTACAGATATAATGGAGGAGGTGTAGGAACACAGATTGCAAATGAAACTAGTGGTTCTTGTAAAGGCAAGCAAGCACATTATTATTATCATAGCACATACATGTTGAATAATGAATATAATAAATAGTGTCCCAAATCTTCTTTAAGATTTTATATCCCATAATATTGATATTGATGTATACTTTTAAAGTGGTAAGGGTACTTAATTGAAAAGGAAGGGTCCCAATCCAAAGAATTGGACTTGTTGGCTTATTGCACCCCCCTATACAACTTTCACTCCCCAAATATGAAAGTGATGTCTATTTTGGTTACCTTTAACAAATCAATTTAATTATTTTTATATATTGATAATGATGGTGATTTGGAAGAAGGGAGACATAAAAATATAGGATCATGAAATTGACAGGAGCATATGTCTTTCCTTTGATATTAATTTATTTATTTTTTTCTTTTTGAAATTATAGAATGTCAAACATGACTTCATGACACAATGTAAACAATCCTTTTTAATGTGTATGTGTCTTATCCTCCAACTATTTTGTGTAAAGTTTGAATAATTTTTTTTCCTTCAAAATTGATTATCGCATTGTTTTAGTTGGTCTTAATCAAAATTGTAATGGTCTTCATTAAGTATAATAATGTATACCACTCTTATTCAGGAACATGTTTAATTATTATATTTCTATTTTAAATAAGGAGAACATATATTTACCGACTAGAGCTTAACCCTCATGGGGCTTTTTATTAAAAAAATTCAGTCAATTGTTTATATATACGAAAAGTAAAATGTTGAGAATTTTCATACGAGTTTAAACTCTTTAAAAAAAATCAAATTACTACTTCCATTTCATATTATTTGTAACGATTTGATATAGA